GAAACAGTCTCTTCTTCATGTACAATTTATTTTGACTGTTTTTCTTCAAAAATTTATCCTCCAGTGCTTTCCATAATTTACTTGCAGAAGTTTCCTTTGTGTATGGATATTTCTGCTCTCTAGCAAGGTAGGATCGAATGGTACCGCAAGCAACACGATTGATAATTTTCCAATCTTCTTCTCCAATAACATCTGATCTCTTTTCTTCAATGGCATGATCTAGCCCTTGTTGAAAAAGGACATCTAGAACCTCGCCTTGCCACATCCCAAAATGTCCGGACCCGTCAAAAATTTCTACCGCAAATTTCGCATTTGACACAATTCTTGTCATAAGCGAAGATGCCAATGATGACGTATTGTTGACACTTGATGTAGATTCTTCTTGTTTATTGTCTCCCATATTTGACACAAATATTATTTAATAGCTGACGACACAAATCAAGATTATTTCCTTTCTGATGTAGAAGATCAGACTAAGCTGCAACCACAGAGCATACTCAGACAGAACCTTGACTCAGTTACCAAGATAAATCTTTTCTGATGTGGAAGATCAGACTATGCTGCAACCACAGAGCATACTTAGACAGTATCTTGGCTCTGATACCAATTGTTGCGGAATCCAAATGTATATAGTGTGAATAAGTCATAACTACTATACCAAAAATTATGACAACCACCAAATAATAAATAAGACAATAAAGCAACAATAAAGGGAACACCAGAATTTACGAGGTTCGGCTAATTTTGCCTACTCCTTGGACACAACCAATATTTTATTCCACTCCAAAAATACAAGTGAAATAATACTAAAGAAGAAGATACAAATGCCTTAAACAGATGAGAAGGCAAATGAGAGGTGTATTTAAATCCTAAACATTAGGCCTTCTTTTATAGGAGGAAAATCCCCCCAAACTCAAGAGCCCACCGATGTGGGACAAAAAATTTGCCAAACTTCAACATATATATTTGTGCCCCATTATAGCAAGAGTATTAGATAAGTCTGGTATAGTCATACCTCATTCTAATTTCTTCTTAAAATTCTTCTTTGTTTTAGCCTTTAAGATAATGCTAATAATTATTAATTTAATATAATTATGTTCATATTTGTTACTGAGTAATATGCTGAATGAGTAAAAAATTAGATTAAGTAACGTAATATAAGCCAAATGTACTATTGGAAACAAATCGCCAATTTAAGACCAAACATGTGTTACAGATAATACATCATATATCACAATTTTACTACTATTAATGGAACATCTAACAACTATTAATGAAATATCTAACGACATATAATGCAATTTTTCTGTATTATTTAACTATGAGAAAACTACCTCTTATTGCATCACCAATATTGCAAAATAGCCTTCTATTTCCCGCTACGAGCTTTTATGTTATTTTCATTAATAGTACCGTGGAATAGATAAAATGTCTCTAGCATTAGTCAAAAGTTTTGGGTTGGGATGTCAAAACTTTTGATGGGCATCGTATTGAGAAAAATCAAGTTAACATTTGGAATTAATTATGTGCTGACACGACAAGACACGTGGATCAATAAAAGAATGACAGCTGGCAAAGAATCTTCAAAGAGACACAAGCCTTAATAGATACGGACAAAGATTCAAGAAAACAGGAAGGAATGGTTACTCGGACCTCTTGGTAATTTGAAGAGATATCAGAGGAATGAACCTAGATAGCAAAAAACACAGATACGTATTATCCGTAATTAATGAGCATCAATGATGGAAAACATTATAGAATCCTCACGAAACAGTTACGATTGCCAATTATAACGTTACATTAATGCCATTAATTTCTCATAATGATTCTGTTATGAGAGGAAAGAAACGTATAACTTAGAAATAGCTATAAAAGGAGAGAAATAAACATTTGTAAAGACACAGAATATTATTGTAATACACTACTTTGCTTTCTTTTACTTACTCAGGTATCGTTTAAGTCAATTCTTCTTATTTGTTCCATATTTGATTATCAGTAACTCGAGTTCTTTTAAAATTAGGCTTTGACCGAAATTCCTATTTTTTGGTTAAACAAATTGGTTCCGTTGCCGGGAATCTGATAATCTTTTGCTTTCCAAATCGATTCTTTTCTCAAAACAATCATGTCGAATGTCAACGACAACAATCAACAAAGTTTACCACACCAAGAAGATCCACAACATCAGCTGAACCAACAAGGTGACAGAACTCCAGTTCCCTCACTATAACATTCTCCTCGACAATCATGAGAGGGGACTCCTGATAGGTCTGCATCGCATGAAAATGACAGACTTGCAAATGATCAAGCTATCGATGAAGCTTTGAAAAAATTAATCGCTCAATAGGTCAGCAATGATTTTCAGGTTTTTACCAACCAGTTGCCGGTTGTACCGCCAACACCAACTCCAAACAACAATACCCTAGAAAATCCTCGCTCAGGACTCGTTAACTCAGGCAGTGGCGGAACCCCCATCGAATCTCGTGATGGAGGGCCAGGTAACCCAGTTAATTCGATTTACAAAATTTAGTACTTAACTTTGCAGAAACAGCCCAAGGAGCAGAGCGACCGTATAGAGCAAATACCTGGAGTGCCGCTTGTAATCAAGAGAATAGATATGGACAAATACTCACAACAACCTTGGAAGCCAAGTGCTGCTTCTCTACCAATTCCGAAATATGATGGAATAACTGATCCACGGGATCACGTAACTGCATTCACAACCAGTGTAAAGGGCAACGGTTTGACCAAGCAAGAAATTGAATCAGCATTGGTCAAAAAATTCGGAGAAACACTCACTAAGGGAGCATTAATATGGTACTCTCTCTTTACTTGAAAATTCTATAGATTCTTTTGCTTAGTTTGTAGATTCATTTATCAAAGTACACTCGGGAGCTCAAAAAGTTGAAAAAAGAATGGAGGACATTTTCAAAATAAAACAAGGAGATACAGAGCTGCTTAGGAAATTCGTAGACAGATTCCAACGTGAGAGGATGATGTTGCCACGTTACCTGATAACTGGGCTGTTACGACATTTTCCAGTAATCTAAATGAAAAAAGTTCAGAAGCCACGAGGAGACTCAAGGAAAGTTTACGAGAATTTCCAACAACAACTTGGAATGATGTTTATAACAGATACAACACGAAATTATGGATAGAAGAAGATACCATCATTCAGTCTTGAAAAGATGAAAGGATAAGTTCAAGACTAGCTGAAACTGAAAAAAAATCCAGTAAAAAAAGATACGAGCCTTACATGGGACCAATAGGAAGAGACTCGCGTTCAAAACAGGAAAACCCAAGGTACGATCATAGATCAAGAGATAGAGAGTCAGGTTCATCATCAAGGTTCGGAAAAGAACGAAACACGCGAGAGACGCGAGATGATGACAGCTCGAAGGCAAAGATCGGCGGTTATAGTTTTAATATTAGCACATCTGAGTTGGTGGCTGTTTTAAGGAGCATGGGAGACAAGGTACGGTGGCCAAAGGAAATGAGATCAAACCCGAACAGGCGAAATCCTAATTTTTGGTGCGAGTTTCACAACGATCACGGTCACAAAACGACGGATTGTAGATTGCTGCAAGGTGAAGTTGAACATTTATTAAAATAAGGATATTTAACTGAATTGTTTAGTGAAAAAGGAAAGCAAGCATATATGAAGAATACGCAGGAGCCTCCAAAACCTCCTTCACCAAAAAGGACGGTTAATGTCATAAGTTGAGGAGAAGAAATCAATGGCGTAACATATACGACAGCAAAGAAAGTGTCAAAAATTACAATTACACATAGGAAGCGAGTTCGACAGGTTTTGGAAGAAGATTGTATTACATTTGATGATGCAGATGCAGATGGCGTGCTAACCCCGCATAATGATGCACTAGTAATATCTTTACTTGTACATGACACTAATGTAAAACGAGTTTTGATTGATCCAGGTAGTTCCGTGAATATCATTTTGTTAAGAGTGGTAAACGAGATGCAAGCCGATGATAAGCTGATACCCAAGGCACACACCTTGTCTAGTTTTGACAACTTGAGCGTCGTAACAAAATGGGAGATAATACTTACGACATTCGCAAAAGGAGTAGTCAAAGATACGAAATTTCATGTGGTAGAAATGGATATGACTTACAATATGATTCTCGGTAGACCATGTATTCACGAAATGGACGTTGTTCCATCTACCTTACATCAAGTTATCAAGTTTCCATCATAATGGGGGATACGAAAAATCCGTGGTAACTAACAAGCTTCACGGAACATTAATTCCGTGGCAGATTCAAACGCTAAAAGTGACGAAAAATAGCAATCACAGAATGCAGTTGAGGACGCAGCAACATGAACCTCAACTGAAGATGGGAAAACAGATGTAGATTCGAGGCCCGATACTATTCAGGAACCAGAAGAAAATGAAAATATCAAAACAACGATCGAGGAATTGGAAGCTGTGGTGCTATTTGTACATTGGCCAAACAAAAAACTCTACATTGGAACCAACCTCAGCCCAGAAATGAAACGTAAGTTGATTAAATTTTTAAAGGCTAACGTAGATTGTTTTGCTTGGTCCCATTCAGATATGACAGGTATACCACCGGAGGTAATGACCCACAAATTAAATGAAGATCCATCATACCTACCTGTCAAACAAAAGAAAAGGAAGCAAGACTCCTTCAAGAACTAGGTGATTCAAGATGAGGTGCAAAAACTTTTAAAAATTGTGTCCATCCGCGAGGTAAAGTATCCAGATTGGTTGATTAATACTGTTGTAGTACCTAAAAATAATGGTAAGTGGCGAGTTTGTGTAGATTATACTGATCTGAATAAAGATTGCCCTAAAGATTCTTTTCCATACCGCACATAGATCAAATAATTGATGCTACTGCAGGGCATGAATTGTTAAGTTTTTTAGATGCATATTCAGGATATAATCAGATTAAAATGGATCCTCTAGATGAAGAAAAAACTTCCTTCATCACAGACAGGGGGACTTACTGTTACAAAGTCATGCCATTCGGTTTAAAGAATGCTGGGGCCACATACCAAAGGCTAGTGACCAAAATATTTTAAGAACACTTAGGCAAAACCATGGAAGTGTATATAGATGATATGTTGGTCAAATCACAACAAATAGGGGACCATATTCAACACTTGACTAATACATTTCAGATTCTTCGCAAATTTAACATGAAGTTAAATCCTGAGAAATGTGCATTTGGCATCTCATGAGGTAAGTTCTTGGGATTTCTTGTTTATAACCGTGACATCGAAGTAAATCCTACGTAGATTAAAGCTATTGAAGAAATTCCGGATATACTCACGAGCAAAAAAGAAGTACAAAGGCTGACAGGAAGAATAACAGCCTTGGGCAGGTTTATTTCCAAGTCATCAGAAAAATGCTTCAAATTCTTTTCAGCTTTAAAAAAGCAAAACCAATTTGAATGGTCTGAAGAATGTCAACAAGCGCTTAAAAATTTAAAGGCGTACCTGTCAAATCCACCATTGCGAGCCAAACCGAAAAGTGGGGAGAAATTACTTGTCTACCTTACAGTTTTAGAAGTGGCGGTAAGTGTCGTATTAGTTCGAGAAGACCAAGGTAAACAATCACCGATTTATTATGTTAGTAAATCTTTGCTAGATGCTGAAACTCGATATCCTCATTTAGAGAAACTTGCATTAGCTTTGATTATGACATCTAGGAAATTAAGACCTTATTTCCAATGTCATCCTATTTCTGTGGTAACCGCCTACCCCTTACGTAATATATTGTATAAACAAGAGTTATCGAGTGGATTAGCCAAGTGGGCTATTGAACTAAGTGAATATGACATTACATATCAACCTAGAACTGCAATAAAGTCACAAGTTTTAGCAGATTTCGTGGAAGATTTTAGCCAAGGGATACTGTTGGAAGCAGAAAAAGAACTACAGTTATTTAATAGATCTAATCCAGGTACATGGACCTTATTTACTGACGGTTAATCAAATGTAAAAGGAGCAGGTCTGGGCATTGTCCTGGTACCACCTGCGGGTGAAACCATACGGCAAGCAATAAAGTGTCATCCAATCACTAATAATGAGGCAGAATATGAAGATGTGATTATAGGGTTGGAATTGGCGCGACAGCTCGGAATAGAGCAGGTCATGATTAAAAGTGATTCACAGCTTGTAGTTAACCAAATGCAGGGGACTTACACAGCTAGAGAAGCGAGGATGCAACAGTACCTGGAAAAGGCACGGGATTTAGTTAGACAATTCCAAACTTGGAAAATCACGTAGATACCAAGGGAAGAAAATGCAGAGATAGATGCTCTAGCCAATCTTGTATCTGCTGCAGAAGTAACAAATAAAGAAAATTCTTTCGTGATTCATTTGTTTCATTCAGTGCTTGATCAAGACAAAAACGAGGTAAATTATAATAATCTAACTTGGGACTGGAAAAATGAGATTGTCAATTTTTTGGAGTATGGAATACTACCTGAAGATAAGAAAAAGACTCAAGCACTTTGCCAAAAAGCTGCTCGTTACTGTTTAAATCAAGGCAATCTATATCGAAAAATGTTCGGTGGACCTCTAGCAAAATGTCTCGGCCCTTCTCAAATGGAGTACGTAATGAGAGAAATACATGAGGGACATTATGGAAATCATGCTGGAGGAAGAGCTTTGGTAAAAACCATAATTAGAGTTGGCTATTATTGGCCAAAAATGGAAGAAGACGGGGAAAATTTTATGGCAAAATGTGACAAGTGCCAAAGATATGGTAACAATATGCACCAACCAGCTGAATTATTACATCCGGTCGTTGTATCATGGCCTTTTATGAAGTGGGGGATGGATATTGTAGGTCCACTACTACAAGCCAAAGGCAAGGTAAGATTTTTGTTAGTATTCACTGACTATATTACTAAGTGGGTAGAAGCAGGAGCTTTCAATCAGGTGCGAGAAAAAGAGGTCAGAGACTTCATCTGGAGAAACATCACATGCCAATTCGGGATGGCAAAGAAAATCGTATGTGATAACGGACCACAATTTATAGGTGCACAAATCACAAATTTTTTCCAAAGTTGGCGAATTAAAAGGATTACCTCAACACCGTACCATCCGGTGGGTAATGCACAAGTTGAATCAACAAATAAAGTCATTATCAACAACTTGAAGAAAAGACTGGAAGAATCTAAAGGCAGTTAGCCAGAGGTACTACCTGAAGTCTTGTGGGCTTACCGAACAACAACAAAAACAAGTACGGGAGAAACACCGGTTTCACTTGTATATGGGGATGAAGCCTTAATTCCAGTCGAGATAGGGGAACCAAGTACGAGATATACTTAAGATACTAAAGAATCGAACGAAGAATAGATGTGGATAAACCTAGATTTACTTGAAGAAAGGAGGGAAACTGCATTAATAAAGATGGCAGCGCAAAAACAAGTTATTGAGCGGTATTACAATCGGAAAGCTCGTCTTAGATACTTCAAGATTGGGGACTATGTACTCAAGAAAATTTTCCAATTCACGAGGGCAGCCAACGCATGAAAGTTAAGTCCAAATTGGGAAGGGCCTTATAAGATTCATGGTATCGCAGGAAAAGGAGAATACGAGCTTGAAACATTGGATGGCAAGATTCTACCTTCAAATTGGAATGCTGTTCATCTGAAGAGATACTACTTCTAAGGAAAGAAAATACCAACGGGCAGGTATCCCCACTCACGATTTTTATTTTGAATTATTAATATTTTACTAACGATTTTAGATGATAGACAGAAAGCTAGCATGCACTAAATCATGAATTACGACCTGAAAAACACGTGGAAAGAACATAATTCCCGGTCTAGGGTTACAACTATTCTGATAGAAATTTAAATGGGTTAAGCAGTCTTAATCTAAAATCGTACCTCCGAGTCCCGTATGTTTTTCCTTTTCAGGAAAAGGATCGCATGGAAGGAATAATCAAGTGCTCGAGATTTCATACTTCAAAGCTCAAACACTTGGGGGACTATATAATATACATATGATATATATATATATAAGGAAGGCAAAGAAGGTTGAAACAATTAAATTTCAAGTCAAGCCTAAAGTCTACTCAATAAATATCAAGTTCAGAGCAAAGTCATGAGCCTAAAACGCAAGCCTGATCCAAAAACCTGTGAAGAATACACTCGTGGATACAAATTTCAAAATCTTATGAATGTTTAGGTTAAAGGCAGTATTTAGCCATGGGTCATAAAGAAACCCATGTATTTTATTTTTTTGCAAATGTGTTGTAAAGAAAACAGTTACGGAAGAGTAATAGAAGATATTTAAATACATGTAAGATGTTATTTAAACTTGACAAATTTCTAATGAAAACTTTATCAAATTATTTCAAGAAACATGTGTGTTCCTATTTCTCCTTTCGTATGTTTATACCGTTATGAAGTTGAGATGTCTTCTTCATTAAGTATCGTATATAAAAGGGACCTCTTTTATAATTCATGTTTAATTCAAAGATCCATGAAGTTAATTAAGCATTTCTAAAAATGCAAACAGTCAAAAGGGTAAGACAAAAATCCACGAATTAAAAAGCAAGACCTTGAACTTATAAAAAAAACAAGGCAAATTATTATAAGAGTATAACAGAAACTCAAAAGAATTAAGTTAAAACGAAAACTTTATAATATTAAGTTAAAACTAAGTATGAACTTAGTCATAAACTGATTGTCATTTTAAAGCCCCGAAAAGACATGGGGACATGCTATTTCCAAAAACATAACCCCCAAAATGAGACCAGGGGTAATACCACCACACATTTCACCAAAAAGAAAAAAAAGGAGTCAAACTTCACAAATAAACTCACTATGGAGCAGGTTTAGAAGAAGAGTTCAGGACGACATCATCAACAACAGAAGGCTCGATTTGGTCTGAAGGAGCTGGGACATCCAGCGCACCAGGATCAGCTTCAACATTCTCGAGAGTATCAGCCATGGGAGAAGAGAAACTTTGGCCTTGCTGAGTTTTTTCAATGGTCTCTTTAATCTTTGCTAACTCAGCATTCAAGTTAAAACCTTCTTGGCTAACCTCCATAAGGGTATCATGGCGCGTGTTCAATATGTCCCAACTTACTTTGACAACAGCTTTGTCCTCAAGAGCCTCGTAGTATCTTTCCCAATGATCAATTTCACTCTTGAGTTCCTCCCTCTCAGTCAAAGCAACATCGTAAGAAGATTGTAAAGGGGCAAGGGAACTCTCCAAAAACTTGACCTTATCAAAAGACACACGGGGATCTTCTTGGGTCTGGGTGAGTGCTTGAACAAGCTCACCTGCATAAACCTCTTTCTCATTCAACAAGGCCTTCAAACCTCTGATCTCCTCGGTGGCTTTGGAGAGTTGTTCAACAAAAGATGACTCGAGGAGATTTTTATCCTTGCCTGCCTGATTGGAAGAAGCTTTTTCAACTGCTAACTCCGATGCCATGACCCTCAGTTGCTGCTCTAAGGTACATTTGTTTTCTTCTAAAACTTCCATCTCAAGCTGAAGACTGTCATACTGCTCTTTCCAATTATATACCTCAATCTGGTAATCATGCATCAATCACTCTGTATAGGAAACCCTTTTCATCATCTCCGTACCAATGAGATTGATCTATATATAAAAAAGGGTAAGAATTTCAGTAGAAAGAAAATGGAATAGAACATGAAAAAGGCATCAATACCTTCAGTGATGATTGCACTATGTCATTCATCCAAGTCAAAGAACTATGACTTTCTAGCTTGAACTTTTCAACGGGACCAATCAGGGGTTTCAACCATACATCAGCTTGGCCAGACTTCTTCAGAAGATTACCATCGGCAAGAACCTCAATGGTAATTTGCTTTATCACTCTACTTCCACTTGAAGAACCAACTTCAGTTCGAGAAATATTAGTAGTGGGAACCGTAGAAGAAGTCATAATAGCTTGAGGTGGGGTAGAAACAGCAGCAGTAAAAAAAAGCAAAGAGCATTCCATTGGGACAGACACGGGGAAAGAGGCAAGAGGTACTTTATCAGACACCAAATCAAAACCTTCACTATCAAACCCACGTGAAAAAACATGTTCATCAGAGTCACGAGCTGCCATAGGAGTATCTTTGTTAGAACTCACTAAGGTGGCTTCAACAGACTCGATCACGGGAATAGAACGGGGAGGAGTAGCTTTGTCATCCAAAATGACTCTTCTTCTAGCCCGCAGCCTTCTAACCAAAGAACTTCCATCCCGTTCGTCTTCCTCCTTAAAATCCTGGGGTTTGTCAGCTTTCCTTCAATGAAGAACCCAAGATTATCTCATGGTCTCTTGCCAAAGAAAGTCTAGAAGCTGCAATCGATTTAGCACTTACACCGCGAATAGGAAACCTTGATAAAACGAAGGGTTAAAAACATTCTAATAAAAGAACAGATGAAAATAGAAGGAAAATTCTTACCATGGGTCTTAACCTTCCAACCAAACCTATTTGAAAGGTATTTCCAAGATCTAACTTCCATTAGAGCAATGGTCAACAATTTCTCTACCCAACCACGAAAATTAGGAATCTCTTCAACTGTTCCCATGGTTGCTTGAAAAAGAAAAGTGAAACAGTCACGGGAAGAACAAACCCTTTCTAAAAAAAGGGAAAAAGAGAAGAAAGAAAGTTATAAAGAAAACTCACGTGAAAAATTTCACTTTTCAGGGAATGATATATTTTCTTTACCTACTAACTCTGCCGTAGGAGCAACGACAAATCTGGCGTACCAGCCACGGTCCTTGTCATCCTCAGGGCTGACTAAAACTCTCTTACTCCTCACCACCAAAGTAAAGATCCCATGTCAGAACAACTTAGGGGACTAGATGTGGATCAGATGAAAAAAGGTGAAAGGCAATTGAGCCAAATTAGCCAAGGACCTAAGACATGCAACAACCTCCACACAATAGGGCCAATTTGTCCTAAACACATGATAGCAGGCGATATAGTTGATATTTACACCTTAATATGACCACACTTTGTTGTTGTTTTATAGATAAATTGCCAACAAAATGCTCTAAATAGTGTTCTTTTATTTAGCAGGGAATATTATATGAGAGGAAGCAACATGGAGTGGTTTGGAGGCAATAATGTGAAGAAAAACACCCACTCGAGAAGTACCCGAACACAAAGAAGCATAAATGGCCTGGGAAATAAGGCCACCGCGACCGCGGTGAACCGCGAAAGGTTACTGAAGTGAGGCAGAAAGGTCAGCTTTCACCGCGGTCGACCGCGACCGCGGTGCACTATTCACACAGCTGGAAGTTTGAGGACCAAAGCGTAATTTCGGGGAAACTTTTGTAAAACCCTTATAAGCTTTAGAAACTCGCCCAATTGAAGGGGGAAGCTAATTTTAGACTACTTTTGGGGGAAGAACAAGTGTGAAAAGATCAACAAAACATTAGAGTTTTTCTATCTCCTTTTAATTCTTGCAATTTTACATTATGAACAATTTAGTAGTTTTCTCTTGTTTTACTATGAGTAGCTAAATACTTATCTAGAGTTGATGGAACCAATTGTTGGTTGAAGTTTTGACTCAAGTTGTTATAATCGAGCCAGATTTATGATATGATTGTTTAACTACGTTTTGTATGGTGATTAATTGAATGAGCCCTTGATTAATTGTGTCTAATTACCTTATATTGCTTGAGAAAGAGTATTAGGTTAGACATCGGTTGAACAACACCACTTTTGGGTAATTGAAGAGATTCATTACTTGAACTTAAAAGTGAGTTTAGAGATAACAAAACTTTGGTGGGATACTTTAGAGTTGCATAACTATTGTCAGCTAGAGTAGTTCGAGAGAATGCTCTAGTAAATTATTATAATTGATCGAGAGATAATTACGATAACCCATAGCTCTTAATCCTCATAGAGTATTATGGCGAGATTATAGCGGAAGAGTCAGGACCTAAACTAGCAATTGGGGAAATCACTGCCCTAGACCTTTTTACCATTGAATTATCTTTGTTTTAGCTTACCATTGTTTTTAATAGTAGTCGAAGTAGTTAAACAAAAACCCAATCGTTATTGATCAAAAATCTTGCATCTAGAGATTGATTGAGTTGATAATAACATTGCCGAAGAGGGTAATAGATAGGTTAGTTCTCCGAGGATTCGATTCCGGACTTAAAAACCGGATTATATTTGCAGCGACCGCTTTGTCCTTTAAAAGGC